CCCGCCAGCGTTCGGGAGACCGGTCATTCCCTCGGTTAAACCCGTCGTGAGCGCCGAGCTGGTAAGGAAAACATCCAGGAAGGGAAGACACATGTCCCTGCGCCCCTCTCCTGCTCCCCCCACCTTTCCTCACCCTCCTGACCCCCCCACACACACCGCGCCCCCCAGACCCACTCGCAGGAGAAGCTGCGTCTGACTGCCATGGACTCGCCGGAGCCCCAGCGCCACGCGCCTTGGAGTTTTCCACAGGAAAGAAATCGGGCTGCGCTCCTGCCTGTCAGTGTTGGCGGGAAACTCATTCGTCACGTTTGAGATGCCTCCGCCTCCTCCCTCCCTCCCTCCCTCTCTCTCCTCTCCCCAGCCCTTGGGGCTGAAGGACACACAACTCCAAGCTTTTGAGCCAGCTGGGAGGGAGTCGGGGACAGGAGGTGTGTCTTGAGGATCTTCAGGCACAGCCTCAATAAACCCTTGCTACCCCTCCCCCCTTACACAGACACCGTCCACACCTGAACCAGTATCAGCACTTCCTCCCCCCCCCCCCCAAACTATGGAGCAGTTCTACCTAATCTTCCAGGTGAAGGTCACTGATAATGGTGGCGATGGTGTCTGGAAACTTGAAGAGGCTATAAACTAGTGTTAAAGTTGTTGAGGGGTGGGGTTGGACGAGGAGAAGTAGAGTAAACTCTGTCCCCCTACCACCCCACCCCTCCACATAATTCAAGATTGCAGCTCTTCTAGAGGTTTTGTTTGTTTTGTTTTGTTTTGTTTTTAGGCGGTTACAACAGCAAGGTCGAGACTGAAACTGTTGACTCAATCCTCTCAATCCTGAGGACTTTTAAAAGAATTTATCTGTCATCTATGTTTTAGCATGAATTTAAGTGGATGTATTATTTCTAAAAGGAGTATTAGCATGTTAGCCTGTATAGTATGAAAAGATCTTTCTTTTCCAGATCATTCCAGGGAGAGAGAAAAGGAAAGGAAGGGTGGGAGGGATTTTTAAATCACACAGTATCGATTATCAATGCTCCATAAGAAATTACCTCTGTACTTAGTAGCTTAATAAAATAATATGATTGATCGTCTTTCACAGTTTCTGTTGGTCGAAAGATTCAGAATGGGTGTGGTTGGAGATTTCTTATGCAGTTGCAGGAATATTTAAGATAGAGCCCCAGCCACTGGAAGGCTTGTCTGGGATCACAGGATCAACTTCCTTAGAGGCACAAAACAGAGATCATGCCAGGACTGGTTGTGGAGAGGAAATCACTGCCTCTCATTAGAGGTTTCTTCATAGGATTGCATAAGTGCTCTTACAACATTGTAGCTGACTTCCTTCAAAACAGCAGATCCAAGAGCGAATGGGACAGAAGTGACAGTGACTTAGCTCTTGGAAGCTTTGCCTGTCACCTCTTCTTTAGTCACATAGGCAAGCACTGATTAAATATGGAAGAGTGTATGAGAGCATGAATTGCAAGAAAAAAGGGTCATTGGAGTCATCTTGGGGCTGGCTATCACATATATCATCTCTGAAATTCTGAAATCACATCTTGTGTGTGTGTGTGTGTGTGTGTGTGTGTATTTCTTACTTGGGTAACAGCCAAAGTCTTTTCTATAATGGCTCTACCAGTTTACAATACTCCAGCAATGTATTAAGGTTCTAGTTTCTCCAGATCCTTTCAAAAACTTACGTTACATTTATAATTATTTTAGTTAACAATTTCATTTGTAGCTGGGCACTGATGCCTCACACCTGTAATCCTAGCTACTGAGGAGACTGAGATCTGAGGATCATGGTTCAAAGCCAGCTGAGGCAGAAAACTCTGTAAGACAGTTATTACCAATTAGCCAGCAAAAAGCCAGATGTTGAAGTACGGCCCAAGTGCCAGCTTTGAGCAAAAGGCAAGTGAGAGCATGAGGCCCTGAGTTCAAGTCTCAGTACCAGAAAAGAAAAATTACATTTGTAATATGAGGGGATTTTATTGTGGTATTTCCATACATGCACACAGTGTACTTTGCATATTTCTACATTTAGTTTTTAAATTTTGAGACATTTCAAACATTCACAAAAGTAGAGAAAATAAGACAATGAACTATCAACCAATCATTTACATTCAATACTTGTCTTTCTACTCCACCTTTCAGCCCTTCAGCCCTTACTTTAGGCCTCAGTGTTCCAGGCTTCACCCCACTCCCTACTTTCCCCCTTCTGCTATATTTGAAAGGCAAGGGAAAAACAGAAAGAAAGTAAAAGGCTGTTTATGCTGGGCACCAGTTTCAAGAGTGGGTGGGTGTCTATTTGGAAGGGTCGCCTTAGATATAGTCCTCAGCCAATCTCTTTTCAGCTTATCTGGAAGTAACTGTGCCCTCTTAAAAATTTTGACAGATATGCAAATCACCTGTTAGTCCAGACCACATATTGGTAGCAAGGGTTTAGAGCTGTGCTATCGGAATAGTCATTAACCACATGTGACTATTTAAATGAATTTAAATAATACTACAAATGACTAGTTCAGTTTCCCTACCAACCTTGCAAATGCTCAGGGAGTCCATGTGGCTAGTTACCCAACTGAACAACACATCATCTCTGAACGTTGGGCAGTACTGGATAGCGAATTGACTCATACCTCTCCTACAGCCTCTTTTTAGACTAGAACAACTATTTATTAATTCACAACAAACGAGGACCTGTGCAGGATAAATAGCAACAGGTTATTTATAGTGAGTGTTTATTTCCTCTTACTGGAATGGATCAAACCAGTGTTCCTAAACAATTTGAAAGGTTGTTTGGTTAGCTAAGCACTTGAGAAAGAAAGGCTGCGTGTATCTTAGGAGTTATGCAACTGGAGTAATTGCTATCTTCCACACTACAAGTATTTTTTTTCTTTCTTACTGACTAGTACTGACCATTAGAATCAGATCAGAAAATGCTGGGGGAAGGCACCATTAAGAAGCTAGTCTTTTTAAAGACTCCTAAAGGTTTAGCTACTCTTAAGACAATGTACTCTAATATATATATATATATTTTTTTGGGGGGGATAACAGTCGTGGGGCCTGAACTCCGGGCCTGGGCACTGTCCCTCAGCTCTTCAGCTCAAGGCTAGTGCTCTACCACTTCAGTCACAGTGCCACTTCCGGGTTTTTTCTTTTGCTTATGTGGTGCTGAGGAATCAAACCCAGGGCCTCAGGTATGCAAGGCAAGCGCTCTACCACTGAGCCAACTTCCCAGCCCTGTACTCTAATATTCTGGGCACCTTTATGTATTTCTTTTTGCAATTTCCAAAATAGAACTTTGTGTAAGCTATTTTAATTTTCCATTTTCATATTTGCCTCTCCTTTAGACTAAGCTCCTTGAGAAATGTGCCTATTACACATTGAAAAGGTTTGTTTAGTTAATGATGGTATCAAATTAGCATATTTACTATTCGTTAGTCCTCTTAATGCCTGGTATAGGGGTAAGAATGAAGCATTGGGCTTAGACTGGAAGACTGGATACTTAGCTGTAACCTGGGTATAAGATTTTAGGTACTTCATTTTACTAGATCTTATTCTAGAGCTAGGGAGTGGTTCTAAAGATAGTGCACTTGTCTAGCAAGCATGAGAGATTCTGAGTTCAAATCTCAGTGCTGCTGAAAAAAAATACCTTATTTCACTATCTGTAGGATAAGATGATATGTTTCAAGTTATTCTGAACATCAAATGAGCTAACAGTTGTGAAAATTATTACAGTTTTTGTTTTGTCGGTCATGGGGCTTGTAGTCCAGGCCTGGGTGCTATCCCTGAGCTCTTTAGTTCAAGATGAGCACTCTACCATTTGAGCTACAGCACCACTTCTGGTTTTCTAGTGGTTAATTGGAGATAAGAATCTCATGGACTTTCCTGCCCAGGAAAGACCAGAGTACTGCTGGTGAGACTCTTATCTCAATTAACCACCAGAAAAACGGAAGTAGTGCTGTGGCTCAAGTGGTAGAACTGAAGAGTCTCACAGACTTTCCTGCCCAGGCTGGCTTTGAACTGCGATCTTCAGATCTCAGCCTCCTGAGTAGCTAAAATTACAGGCATGAGCCATCAGTGCCTGGCCACAATTATGTTTTTAATCCTAGTTTTCCCAGTGATTACTAGTGGCTACTCTGATCGTGTATGGGTGTGTGTGTACACGCACACGTTTGCACATATGCATGCACGCATGTGTGAATAATGGGGCTTGAACTTGGCCTCATGCTCTTGATTAGGTTTTTCTGATCAAGCCTGGTGTTCTACCATTTGAGACACAGGTCCACTTCCAGCTTCTTGCTTATTGAGATACTAATCTCCCATATTTGTCTGCCTAGACTGGCTTTAAACCTCAATCTCCAGATCCCAGCCTCCTGAGTAGTTAGGATTATAGGTGTAAGCTACTGGGTTCTGGTCTTAATGCCAACATATATACAAATTACCTTGCATAATTGTCTGCCTTGTTCTCACACCCTAGGTATGTGAGTTTCAAACATTTGTTAACTTATGCACTCTCTATCTCTTACCTAACTTTTCCAGTTTTAAGATATTTACAATTTTGTTGTTGTTGTTGATGGTGGTGGTGGTAGTGGTGCTTGAACTCAG